GCGGGCAGCCGGGGAATCGTCCCCGCGCCGCGCGGAGCCGCGGTGTAATTCAAGGTTTTATTTATTTGCCCGGTTTCTCCACCTTGCCACGAACCAGAGCCGGATTTTGCCCGGCTTTTGAGGGAAAACAGCTGGAATTCCCCTGCTTTGCGTGTTGGATATCCCCGAGGCTCTCGTCCCTCTATGCTGCTATGCAAACAACCCAAAGGCACTTGGAATCGATTTTTTTCTTTTTTTTTTTTTTCTTTTTTTTAATGTATAACAGTTATGCCTGAGTTACAGAAAGACACCTACAGGCAGCAGGTAGTTAAAGCAAAACCAGTTTCTCTTCCTACTAAATCTACTCCATATAGCTGAATAAATTATGGTGCGGTTCCGTATTTACACACCCGGCGCGCACACACCCACGGCCCGGAGCAGATGGCGATGAGGCGAACACAGAAGCGACGATCCCGCAGGAACGGGGACAGGGGGTGCCCTACAGCCTAGGGGGACCCCCGGGGTGCCGGGGAGGGCGGGTTAGAAGCGTTAAATACACAAAGGACCCAAAGGACCCGATCTGCTGCGGTGGCCGGGCCCAGTCCGGCCGTGCTGGGGTGGGATGGGTTGGGGGGACAAAGGAGCCCCTCGGGGTCACTGCTGTCCCCCAGGAGGGCAGGAGTCACTGGCAGGCCTGGGAGAATGGTGGAGCTGGGAGAGCATTCCTGGGTGTGTCCATCTCTGCTGTGGCCATCTCTGGCTGTGGCCATCCTTGAAGCGTCCATCTCTGGAATGTGTCCAACTCTGGCTGTATCCATCTCTGCTGTGGCCAGCTCAACAACTCAACTGTGTCTATCCTTGATGTGTCCATCTCTGGCCATGTCCATCTCTGCTGTGTCCTCTCTGGAATGTGGCCATCTCTGGCTGTGTCTGTCTCTGACATGTCCATCTCAGACATGTCCATCTCCGGCCATGTCCCTTGGTCACTGTTGCTCTGCTTTTTGCGTGATTTTTGGTCCCCCAGAGTCAGCAGCAGCTGAGGATCCACTTGGTCACTGCTGGATGGCCCCAGGTGGCCACAGCCAGGTTCCTGCTGTCCAATTCTCCAGGCTTGGTCCCTGTTGGTGGCTGCAGGTGGCTGCAGGTGGCCACAGCCAGGTTCTCTCTGTCAGGGTCTCCAGGTTTGGTCCCCATTAGTGGCCGCAGGTGGCCACAGCAAGGTTCCTGCTGTCCAGCTCTCCAGGCTTGGTCCCTTTTGGTGGCCCCAGGCAGACACAGGCGGCCACAGCCAGGTTCCTGCTGTCCAGCTCTCCAGTCCCAGTCCCCGTTGGTGTCCCCAGGTGCCCACAGCCAGGTTCCCACTGTCCCGCTGTTCACGTTCTGTCCTGTCCCAGCTCCAGGCTCTCCCCTGCCGCGTCCCCTCCCCATCCCACCCACCCCCCAAATTTGTCTCTCGTCAGCAGAGCTGAGGTTGGCAATCCATGAAACAAAACTGAACCAACAGAACAAAACCAAAAGTTACTTCTGACTTTCATACATGAACAAAAGGAAGAAACAAAACAAAACAAAAGCAAAAAAACCAACCCAAGCCCGAAAGCAACCCCATCCCACCCCGAAGATTCTGGAATGTCTTTTGAAAACACACAATAGGCAAATTTCTACAGTTCATCCCCCCATCCCCTTTTTTCCTTATTTTAATTTTTTTTTTACATTTTTCTTTTTTTTTTTTCTTTTTTTTTTTTCTTCTTTTTAACTAGCACATCACTCACTGTAGGTTGTTTTTTTTTTTCTTAGTATATAAAAAAAAGGTCAACTTTCTATAAACATACAGCACATGACCAAATTTCCCAACTAAATGTACAAAGTGCGACCACGAGGGGAAGGTCAGAGAAGAGCTATTTCGTTCCTCTAGGAATTCTATTTACAGCAGAGCCCGGCTGCCCACGGACTTTCTGGGGAAGGGGATTGGCAGAGAGGTTTCTGCAGTGCTCCCTCTTTTGAATTTTGGGGTTTTTTTGGGGTCCTGCCCTTGGGTGAGGCGGCCAGGCCCAGCTGTCCATGGGTGAGGAGGGGAGGTGACAGAGGAGGGAAGAGCAGGAGCAGCAGCCAAGCGATCCCGGGGAATGATGGAGCCTTTCCTTGCGGCTGGGCAGGCTGCGAGGAGGGCGCTGGGCTGGGAATTCCAGCGGCACAGAGGAGGGATCAGCACGGCATGGAATTCCAACAGCAAAGAAGAGTGATTGGCACAGGATGGAATTCCAGCGGCACAGAGGAGGGATTGGCACGGGATGGAACTGGGATCAGCACGGCATGGAATTCCAGCGGCAAGGAGGAGGGATCAGCACAGGATGGAATTGGGATTGGCACGGGATGGAATTCCAGTGGCAAAGAGGAGGGATTGGCACAGGATGGAATGCCAGCAGCAAAGAGGAGGGTGCAGGCGGGAAGGTGCTCCCAGCTGGGGATGGTCAGAAATATTGTTAAATATCAGGAAATCTCCAGTTTTAGCACTGGCTGTGAGTGGTGCTGAGAGGAATTCCAGCAGGTGCTTCCATCGCTGCCTGGAGACGCCCCGATCCCTTTGGGGCTCCTGTTGGGAATGACATTTCAGCCAGGACTGGAATTCTGCAGGGTTTTCTGCTTCTTCCAATGCTCTGAAGCACAAACACCACGAACCAGCAGAGGCTTCGCTGCTCCCTGAGATCTCTGGAGCAGAGCAGGGAGAGGCCTCAGGGTCACCCGGCAGTCCAGGGCACTGGGGCTCCTCTGTCCCCTCTGGAAATTGTGTCCCCTCTGTGTCCCTTCAGCCTCGCTGGCCGCAGGTGCCCTGGGAGAGGAGGTGGGAATGGAATTGCTCCCAAACTCTGTGATCCAGGGAATGTTTGGGCTCCGTGCGTGACACGAGGATTTCTGGAGCACTGAGCCTCTGGGTTCAGGAGTCACCTGGGTTCAGCTCCTGCATGACAGAGGTGCAGGGAAATCCCTCTGGGAATGTGGAGCCAGCTCTGCCGGAGGCGGGAAGCAAAGCTGATGGGAGCCACGTGTGGCTCTGCTGGGACACTGGGAATCCAGGACAGGTGAGCTGGTCCAGATGGCTGCAGGGACAGTGGCCTGGTGGCTCGTGATGAATGGGGAGGGGACCAGGCAGGGGAAGAGCCCAGGGAGATGTTCCAGCTGCCAGAACATTCCAGCTGGTTCAGGAAGGGCGGGAGAGGGGAGAACCAGGGAAGTCTCCTTCAGCAACCTGGAGCAGCCACAGGGTCCCTCAGTGCACAAAGGCAGAGAATTGCTGTGAAAGCAGAGATCTGAAGGGGTTCAGGGCATCACAAACCCGACAGCCCACAGGGGACACCAAACTCTGCCTGTGGGGGACACAACTCTGCTCGGGGGGGACACAACTCTGTTCTGGGGGGGACACTGAACTCTGCCCGTGGGGGACAAAACTCTGCCTGTGGGGGACACCACTGTGCTCGTGAGAGACACAACTCTGTCTGCGTGGGACACAACTCTGCCCGTGGGGGACACCACTGTGCTTGGACGGACACAACTCTACTCGAGGGGGACACTGAACTCTGCTCGGGGGGGGACACTGAACTCTGCCCGTGGCCACCACGCTCCTGCCTCATCCCGGGCCAGCTGTCCTGACCCTCTCCAGGCCAAACCTCCTGACCCCGCACGGGGAGGTGAGGGGTGACCTCTGCCCCACTGGGAATGCTCAGGGATCACCGAGGATCAACCAAAAGGGAAATGTGTCCCCCCTGGGAGGTGACGTCTCAGCAGTGACCTGGGGGTGCTGGCTGGGCTTGTCCAAGCAGGGACAGGAGGTGACACAAATGCAGGAGAGGAGAAAAGTGGGGGGAGAAATTCAGAGAACAGGATCTGGCTTAGGGGGGAATGAGAGAGAGGCTCCAGCAGCAGAAAAAGGGAATGTGGGACTGGGCTGGGATGATGAATGGAGGGAGGGATGGATGGATGGATGGATGGATGGATGGATGGATGGATGGATGGATGATGGATGGATGATGGATGGATGGATGGATGCATGGATGGATGCATGGATGGATGGATGGATGGATGGAGCAAAGCTTTCTCCCAGCAGTGAGAACAGGGAATGTCTCAGGAAGATGAATCTCATCCCTTCAGTGTGGAGAGGGGCAGCTGGAGCCTCTTCCTGTCCTGGCTGCTGCAGAAACCCCTCAGCTCCTCTGTCCTGGCTCCACGTCCTGGGCAGGGCAGCACCTCCAGGCTCAGCTCCGTTCCCTTCCAGGTGACTCCCATGGCAGAACCCGGCTCTGCTCAGTGAGTTCCTGGCCCTGCCCTCTTGTCTTTGCTCCCGTGGTCAGCTCAGGGACAGCAGGGCCACCAGGATCCCTGCCCCGTGTCCCCGGGGTGTGTCTGCAGCCCCTCCTCGTGCCAGGCCAGCGCTGTCCCCGCTGCCGCCGCTCTGCTGCTGTGTCCTGGTGGTGACACTCGTGTCTGGATTGTCCCTCGGAGGAGCAGTGAGTGTCACCCGTGCCCTTCCTCTCCGCTCCTCCTGCAGCTGTTCACGTTTCCCGAAGGTCCCAGGCTGGCTGGAATTCCACCCCAGCCCTGCTTAGCAGCGATCTGGCCTGTCCGGCCCTGCTTTGGGAAGCCAACGGTGAGAAGGGAGGGTAGGCTGGGCTGGGGAAATTTGCTGTCCCTTGAATAAATGTTTTTCTGCTTTCATTTGCCTTTGCAGTTTGTTTGTTTGTTTTTTAAACAAGTCCTTATTTTTGGTCCATAGGTCTTCCGTGGTCCCGGTTTACATCACCCTTAATGCTCAGCTGGGTTATACCTTCCTATATACAACATTCATCAAATTTACAGCAACGGAAAGAAAAGGAAACAAAATGAAACATTTCTCTTTTTTTCCCTTTAGAAAGAAGAAAAAAAAAAAAAAAAACCAAAGCGCTCATTTGGCTTTGACTATGCCAGCTACCTAGGAATGGGAAGTCCTGGAGTGTGGGGAATGCTGTGGCCAGGGGCTTTGGAGGGAGGGCTGGACCGGGGTTGATAAATGCACCCAGCCCATTGTCTCTGGCCACAGGAGGAGTCAGGCCCCAGAGGCCGGACTTGCCTCTGGAATGCTCTGGAGCAGCCGGATCCTGGGAGAGCTCCCCCGTCTCCCATCTCCTCGGCAGCTGGGGTGGAACGGGGCAGGGAGGATCCCTGGGAGCCGGCGGGGGTCTCCAGAGGTCCCTGGCGAGGGGGTCTCAGTAGGCCTGGCCCGTCTCCACCGGCAGCAGCCCCAGCACGGCCGAGTGCTCGCCCAGCTTCATGCGGCGCTGCGTGGACAGGCTGACGTTCTTGGCCAGGTAATCCACGGCAGCTGTGGGGGAAAGGGACAGTGAGGACACGGGGACACTCAGTGACCAGGCTTCCAGCCCTGCAGGGCAGCATCAGGGACCTCCTGCTCTCCTGGGAAGGGTTCAGAGCCAGGATGGGGCTGCCGGGAGCAGGACAGGTCCTGCAGGGCAGCAGGGACAGCCCAGGACTGTCACGCACAGCAGGGACCTCCTGCTCTCCCGGGAAGGGCTCAGAGCTGGGATGGGGCTGCCAGGAGCTGCAGGGCAGCAGGGACAGCCCAGGGCTGTCACGCACAGCAGGGACCTCCTACTCTCCCGGGAAGGGCTCAGAGCCAGGCTGGAACAGCCAGGAGCTGCTGTGGGGCTCAGCACAGCTGAAGGGAGGGGAGGCCCTTGACTTTCTCTATGAACACCTGAAAAATGTGGGAATTCTGCCATGGAGAAAGAGGGTTCTGAGGGAGTTGCCTGGAGGTTTGGGATAAACCTTCCAGGCTGCCGCTCTGCGTGATGCTGCTGGATGTGATTCCAGAGATTTCGGTGGAGGCTGCCCAGGTCGGGGCTCGCACCTGCCTCGCCACTGCTGACTCACGGCTGTGAGCCCTGCCTGCCTCCCTCCATCCCACGGAAACCTCTCCCCTCACTTCCATCTGGAAAGGAAGACCAGCCCCAGCCCCGAGGGGACAGCAGGTCCCAGCTCCCCCGGCCGCCCCGGGGTGAGGGGACAGGGCTGGGACAGGACGGTGACACTGCTCATTAGCCGGGCTTCAGTCAAAGTCCCCCTCCGCGCCTCTAATGGCCCCAATTAGATTAATCAGGAGCTGGCAGGAGCTGCCCGATCGCTGCCAATGAGTAAACAAATCTCAGCCATCAACGTCCTGTCAGCGGCGGGCCCCAGAGGAGCCCCTTCCACGCACCAATCCTGATTAGACTTGGCAGATCCATTAGAATTCCCTTCACGCTCCCGCGTTCCATCACCGGCATCATTAACGCGGCCCCGGCCTCTGGGAGCGGCGGATCCGCCGGCCCCGGGACGGAGCGGCCCTGGGAGCGGGGGGATCCCGGGATGGCCCGGCGGGAGCAGCAGCAGCTCGGCAGGGCTGGGTGTGCTCCCTCCGCCTTCCACAGGGCTCCTCCCCCGGCCCTCATCCAGAACTTTCACTGATATTCCAGGGATTTCTCTGCTGGGACGCTGCGGGTGTGTGGTGGCGGCTCTGTCCCCGGTGTCACCGCGCGGGGTGGCCCTGGGGGAAGGAGAGGGGCGAGCAGGTGGAGCCCACAAAATCCTGGAATCGTCAGGGAGCTTGGAAAAGCCCCTTGAGATCATCGAGTCCAGACCTTAGCCCAGCACTGCCTGTCCCCAAACGCTGTCTCCGAGCACTGGATCCATGTTTGGGGACAATTCCAGGGATAGCATCTCCCTGGGCAGCCCATGTCGTGCCTGAGCCCCTTTCCATGCAGGAATTTTCCCCAAAATCCAACCTGAACCTCCTTGGTGCTGTTTGAGGCTGTTTCCTTTTGTCCAGTCCCTCGTTCCCTGCGAGCAGAGCCCGACCTCCCAGAGCTCCGACCTCCTGCCAGGCTGGGAATTCGATGGCAATCCCATCCTCCCAAAAACCCCAAACATTCCTCGCTGTGCCGCTGGGCAAAACCCACAGGCACCAGGGTATCTCAGGCCAGAAATCAGGGATGGGGTTTGTTGGTTTAGCGAGGCAGAAGCCAAAATAAACCCAGAAATTTACGGAAGGTGTTTGTTTGTTTGTTTAAGTGAGAGGGAAAGTGAGACTGGGTTTGTTTGTGTAAAACTGGGGAAAAGCAGAAGTGGGAGGAGAGGGATTCTCTGATTCCCAAACCCTGGGTTTGTCTCCTGTCACACAGAGCCTGCCTCAACCTCATAACACCCATTCCTATAATATCATCTCTATTAATTTAATTATATTATATATCCCATTGATTACATAATATTATATACACCGTGGCATTATATATGAACCAAATGATACTTTGTGTTATGCAATGAATATATTTTATCACCTAAAAATAGTTTTTGATGCACCTAAAAATAGTTTTTGATGCTTTTGTGCCGCATCAGAGAAGGAAGCACCTGATCTGAATAAATGACCCCGTGGGGTCACCTCACGCCGACGGGCGTTAAAACAGAATTTGAAGAGAAGTGAAGAACCCAAAAGGAGGAGGAATTGGAATTATCTGCAAAGCACAACAGGCACGGGGAAAGGCAGGAAAAAATGTCGTTATTCCAAGGTCAACTGCACGTGAGGGGCTGCTCTCGGCAGCGCTAATTACCGAGGCAAACTGCAGAGAGCTCGGCACCAACGGGGTGACAGAAACGGGCACGGGGGGCCCGGGAAACGACACAAACCTTGCGAGCAGCTCGAGCAAAAAATCCTGCAGCAAAGCCAGACAAACCCTCCTTTCTCCTTCCCCCTCTCTGCCGAAAGCAGCTCGCCCCCTTATTTTATTTTTTACACACATGGGTGTGACTAACGCCTCGCCCAAGGGAATCTTTATTGGAAATACATGGTATCGGAATTTGTTTAAGATTTTTATCAATAGCACGTGTGTCCAGCCCCGCATCCAGAAGCGAGGGGAAGGTCGAGGGGTCACAGATCAAACTCCCGACAAACAAAAAGAGGAGGGGCGGGGGGGCCGCTATTGATCCCGTCTGCCGCCACAGCCGGTTCTCATTGAGGCCGCGCGTTAAGGACATTAAAGGGCTGTGACAGAGCGGGGCCGGAGCCGCGGCCGAGGGAGGAAAGGTCACCGAGGACACGCTGCGGGCAGCGGCAGCGCGCCCGCAGGAAGAGGATGCACCTTTAACCCTCGCGGGTCAGCGGCGCTCCGAGCGGCCCCGCGGCCGGGGACACGCGGCAGGTGAGAACAGCCCGGGCCGCGGGGCTGCTGCCACCGGCCGGGCTGTGCCTGTCACCTCCGGCCGGGCTGTGCCTGTCGGCCGGGCTGTGCCTGTCACCGGCCGGGCTGTGCCTGCCACCGGCCGGGCTGTGCCTGTCACCGGCCGGGCTGTGACTGTCACCTCCGGCCGGGCTGTGCCTGTCACCTCCGGCCGGGCTGTGCCTGTCACCTCCGGCCGGGCTGTGCCTGTCACCTCCAGCCGGGCTGTGCTTGTCACCGGCTGGGCTGTGCCTGTCACCGGCCAGGCTGTGCCTGTCACCTCCAGCCAGGCTGTGACTGTGACTGGCCGGGCTGTGCCTGTCACCTCCAGCCGGGCTGTGCCTGTCACCGGCAGGGCTGTCCTTGTCACCTCCTGCCAGGCTGTGCCTGTCATCAGCCTGGCTGTCCCCATCACCTGGCTGGGCTGTGCCTGTCACCTGGCCAGGACAGCACCTCCTGACCAGGTTGTTCCTGTCACCCAGCTGGCCAGGCTGTCCCTATCACCCAGAAGGGACAACACCTGGGCAGGCTCAGGATTCCAGCCCCAGCCCTGGTGACAAAGGCGTTCTGCAGGAAAAGCTCCCAGCCCGGCCTGGGGAGGGCAGGGCAGGCAGGGACACGCTCAGCTCGGCTTTACAAAGCCCAGCTTTCCCACGGCTGACCAGGGTGAGACTGTCCTGGTGGTTCTGGGCAAGGAGAAGGGGCTGGAGCTGCCTTTTACTGACAGAAAATTTCACCTAAAACATTTCACTGGGGCTTTTGATTCGCCTGCGAGGGGAGGAGCAACCCTTGAGCAGATTTCACTTCCAGCAGGACAAACTTCCCAGGTCTCCCACCCAACAGGCAGAATTCGGGTGTATAAATCCAACCCCCGCTCCCTCCCTCGCTCCTGCCGTTCCCGGGAAGGGGGAATTCCTCCCGGCACTTACTCTGCCCGTACTGGCCGTACTGGTACCCGGCCACGGGGTCCACGCTGTAGCTGGTGGTGCTGTAGGTGGGGGGACAGTAGGACTGCGAGGTCGGGAGGCTCTCCACGGACTTGATGGAGTCGCTGCGCTGGCTGCAGCTGGCCGAGATGGAGTTGGTGCTGTCCAGGCCGCCGTGGAGGGGAGAGATGGAGAAATCGGCCTGGGGCTGCGGCGGGACCCCGCTGGGGTTGCTCAGGATGCTCATCACCTGCAGAGACACCGAGGCACCGTCAGGGGCCGGGCGGGAGGAAAACGGCCCCGAAAACTGCCCCAAAAGGGCGCTTTGGGATGGCCAGAGCCCACACGGGGCTGGCCGGGCGGGAGAGCCGAACTCTGCTCCCCCAAACCCCGCCGGGGCTCCCCTCGGAGCCCTGAACGGGGAGGATGAAGCAATTCCACTCAGCCCACTCGGGATTTGGGGATATTTTTTGCTGCCCTGCCAGGGATGAGCAGAGGGGCCACGGAAAACCGGGAGGAAAATCCCGATTTTCCCAAAGGGGCGGTGAGGAAAAAAATCTAGCCGTTCTTGGGAAGTCAGGTTTGCCAAGGTCCCCGAGCAAAGCAGATCAAACCCTCGCTGCCTTTGATGCAGCTTCAGGGGCTGAAACGTCCGAGGTCTCTTTGCCCTCAAAAGTTAAAGGGTAACAGGTCCTGGTCCGGCTCCTTTCAGTGCTCTGGTGGAAAATGTAATTGAATTTGCACACAAAAAATCTTCCTGCTTTGAGACCTGAACCAGATGAACTAATTGGGTTTTTGTTGGTGTTTTTTTTCCTCTCTCTTTTTTTTTTTAAAAATGCCAGATTTGTTCCCGGGGCTGAGCTGGGGGTGAGGCTCTGCCCTTCGCACGGGGACCCCGGTCCCGCCAGGGATCAGCAGAATTTCCCCGGGGTAATTCCGAGTTAAGGGTGGAAAGGGCTCGCAGGGGAAGGGCCGGGGCTCCTGAAGCCTCTCGGTCGTGTCGGAGCCGCGGGCTGGGGCGGGGGGAGCGGGGACAGGGGACGGTCACCTCGGGGGGCCCGGCCGGCGCTCAGATGCCGAGCGGCTCCAAATCTCCGAATTTAGCATAACCTTATTGACATCAATTAAAGTGGCAAATTGGAAATATTTGGAGCCTGGCAAGTGGTAAAATGAGCCCTTTATCCGCCAGCAGCGGCCTGGTGAGCTTTTGTGCCGGGGCTGCATTCTCGGGAAGGACACTGGGGGGTTTGTGGGGCCGAGGCTCCCCTTCCTGCTCACCCCGACACCTTCCCGGCCCCTCCTCCCTGCCCCAGCGGGCTCCGGGGTGAATGCCCAGCCACGAGCTGGCCTCTGCTTTCTAAAGCATCTCCTCCTCCCCCCGGAAGGGCTCGGGAGCGCTGCAAAGACGCTTTGCCTGGATGGAAAATCGCCTCCCGGCCCCGCTCCGGGAGGAGAATTTGTCCGGGAGGGGAACTCGGCAGCGGGGGGTGGAGGGGGTTGGGTAAAATCCTGGAAAATCCATCTAATCCCGAGCGCGGGGCTGGGCTGGGGCACAGCAGTGAGGTTTGAGCGAGGGAAGGGCTCGTTCCCCCCATCCCTGCCTCATTGCCCCCCATCCCTGGCTCGTTCCCCCCATCCCTGGCTCACTGACCCATCCTCCTCAAGGCTTTCCACCCTGCACCGAGCTCAGACTTCTCTGCTGCTCCCCAAAAGTTAAACCCGGCTCAGCTGCCCCCACACCGAGTTTAGCAGAGCCTTGGTCGGCTCTCCAGAGCCTCTGGGCAGGGGATTAAGCCCCGAGGTGCTTCCATGGGAATGTTCAGCCCTGAAAATATCCCCGTGGGGCTCCCCAGCCCAAGGACTGGGGATGAAGAGAGGAAATTTAATGTTCAGGAGAGTGAGTTAATCCAGGACTGGGGTGCTGAGCTGTCCTGGGGGTGCAACACGGCCCTCCCCCAGGCTCTGCAGAGTGGGGAAATCACGGAAGGGCAGCCTGGGGGCTTTTCCAGCTGCAGAGTTATTTGTGGGCTCCCCCTAAAGTCCACAAACCCTGTCTGGCTCAGCCCCAATCCCCTGGGTTCAGGGAGAGCTCCGAGCTGGAGCATCCCCCGGGTGGAGGAGCTGGGTCTGTGTCCTGAGGGACACCCAGAACCCTCACACAGAGCCCCGGACACGGCTGGAGCGAATTCACGAGCAGAACCGGCTGTTTAGAACAACAAACACGAGTGGAAAACACGGCCGGAGGGGGTGTTGTGAGTTATTCCTGGAAGCTCTGCCCTCTCTCCTCGCCCTTCCTGAGCTGTCCAGGCCTGGCAGTGCTGCCCGGCCGGGGCTCTGAGCCCGCCCAGCCGAGCCCCGCAGGTGCAGAGAGGATTTCACGCGCTGGAATCCTCGGGGAGCAGCGGGGTTTGTGCTCTCCCTCCCTCCCGGCCACGGCCCCGCAGTGCCCCAGCTGCTTCTGATTACCCCGAGCAAAGAAGCGGCTCCCCAAGGCGGGGAGAGCCACATTAACACTTCCTTTTAGGAAAAAAAGGGGGATGTAAAGCAAGGCTGGCAAATGAAACCCAGATTCACACTCCAAATTCAGGGATCGGGACAGATGCTTCCACAAATCCCGCTAAAAAAAGGGAATTGACTTTAATGGGTGGGAATCAGGAGCGGTTTCTGAGCGCAGCTCTGCCCCTGGAGTCTCCCCAGGCCGGCCTTGGCTCCAGCAGCCTGCAGAGCTCCCGGTCCCTGCAGGGACACTGCTCTGCCAAGGACAGCTCAGCCCAGCCCGGCCCGAAGGGGACAGGAAGGACCGAATTTCCCTCTGGGAATCCGTCGGGACGCCGGGATTCCTTCCCAGCCCTGCAGAGTTCCCAATTCCTGTTCTCCCTCTGGGATCCCTGCAGGGACACTGCTCTGCCAAGGACAGCTCAGCCGGGCCCGAAGGGGATAGGAAGGGCTGAATTTCCCTCTGGGAATCCACCAGGATGCCGGGATTCCCTCCCAGCCCTGCTGGGGTGGGGAACGGCTGCCTCTGGGGCGGGGGATTCATCCCAACTGGATGTTCCTATGGATTTGGGGTGACCACGGGGACCCTGAGAGCTCAGCTGAGCCCCAAAACTCCCCGGTCCATCTCCAAGGACACTGACCATGGGAAGTACCTGCCCTTCAGTAGGGGGCAGGTACTTCCCCCTACTGAAGTACCTCCAATACCGGAGGCTGAGGGGGATATGGGGCCGAGAATCCCCTTCCCGAACAGGCTGAGAAGGATTTGGGGCCGGGAAGCCCCTGCCCTTCCCAGATGGGCTGAGAGGGACTTGGGGCTGAGAATTCCCTTCCTGGAGAGGCTGAGGGGGATTTGGGGCTGAGCTCCCTGAACTCTGCACAGGTTCAGCCGAGGGCAGATCCACCTTTCCCCACCCCAGGACATGAAGGGGTTTGGAGTATCGAGTGGGAACCAGAGATTCCCGTTCCCTCCTTCCACCCAGCACGGCAAACCCTGCAGAGCCCTCCTGGGCCCGCGTGCCCGGACTGCTCCTTCCAGCTGCAGAAACTCATTTTCCAGGCCACTTTTGAACTCTGGATCCCCTCCTCAAGAATGCAAAGTCCTTCTCCCGTCCCTCTCTGACCTTGCTGCCTTCTAATTTATGACTTCTTGGTGCATTATCATCCCTGACTAAAAATCAATGCCCGCTCCACATCTGCCGGGGTTTATCTGCAGGGGGATCTGCTGGCTGTCCATCAGCGGGACTGACAGCGGGACCGTCCCTTTCCCTCCCTCCCATCCCCGTCCTCTCCCTTCCCCTGGCCCAAACCCATGGGCTCGCACTCAGGGCTGAGTCAATGCCAGCAGCCTTGGGCCTCATCCCCTGCCATTCCCGAGGTCACCTTTGCAGCGGGAACGAGTAGGGAGAAGTCCTGGGGTGTGGGGTTGATGCACAAAGACCCTCCTGGATGAAGGCAGCAGCTCCCCCCTCACCTCCTGCTGTTGCTCCCTCCCTCCCCACCCTCCTCGGCAGCTCCCCCCGCTCCCCCCAGGACGTTTCATCGCTCTCTCCCCTGCTATAAAAGGAGGGGAGTTAAAAAAATGTAATTAATTCCCTCCATTTCTGAGCTGGCCCTCGGGGCCTGTGGCCGCGGAAGCTGCAGCGGGGGAAATGTGCACCCTTTATGATAAAGGGAGGCGGCTTTGGGGAGGGAAGCGCAATTAGGACCTTCCAGCTGGGCAATCAGGATCTGCTTTTGGGGCTCGGGGGGCCGGAGGGGACCCGAGTGATGGGGACAGATAACAGAGGGACAAGGGCAGGGCAGCACCCGAGTTTGGTGGCCAGGCCTGGCCCTGGCACAGTTGGTGGCTGCTCCTTGGTGGCTACCGAGAGCCACGGGACAGCCCTGGAGGGACCACGGTTCCTGCCCTAAAACATCCCAGAGTGACCACAGCTCCTGCCCTATGGGATAACCTGGAGTGACCATGGCTCCAGCCCTAAAACATCCCTGAGTGACCACGGCTCCTGCCCTAAAACATCCCTGCAGTGACCACAGCGCCTTCCCTATAGGACATCCTGGAGTGACCACAGCTCCTTCCCTATAGGACATCCTGGAGTGACCACAGCTCCTTCCCTATAGGACATCCTGGAGTGACCACAGCTCCTTCCTTACAACATCCCCAGAGTGACCACAGCTCCTGCTCCGCCCCAGAAGCTCCCCAGGATCCCCAGGTGACCCCCGTCAGCTCCTGGACACTGCGGGGACCCATTCAGAGACACATCCAGGGACACACCCAGGGACATCCACAGACACACCCAGGGACACCTCCATAGACACATCCAAGGACGCATCAGGGACACACCAGGGACACATCCGGGGACACCCCGGGAAGGGCTCCTGCCATTGTGATTCCTGGGGCTGTGGTGCTGCTTTCCTGGGAACGGGGACAAATCCTCCCTGGCTGGGACAAGGCTGGCAATGAATGGGATGCATTGGATTTTCTGGGGCCACACCAGGCAAGAAGCATTGGGAAATTCCCTGCAGGGGCGGCTGAAATCTCCCTGGCTTCCAGCTTCTGGGCTGTTCCCATTTCCCTTTCCCGGGCATGGCAAACCTTCCTGCCAGGAAACCCGCTGGATCCCCGGGATTTAACAAAGCTCTCCCAGCTCCTCCCAGGAGGCGCTCAGTCCCTGCTACCCCCGGCTGCTCCAGCTCCTCTCCAGGTCGTGCCCTGCCCTCCCAGGCAGTTCTGGGGGGACCCAGCTCCATCCTTCC